CACACACACACACACACACACACACACACACACACACACACACACACCACCACCACCACCACCACCACCACACCACACCACACCACACCACACCACACACAGGATGGGCCCTTTAAATGTCACAGGATGGGCATCTTGGAGTTCGACCCCAAAGGTAAAATGCATTCCTTGGAAGCATTCCACAGATGTCAGGCCACAAAACCGCCGCTTTCCCCGGAGTACACTGTCTGATTTGTAAGAATCCCCCACTGCCCAAGGTCTGCAGTCAAGACAGGGATGGGAAGAGAGGAACGTGCAAAGGAGGGAAGGAGGTCGGCAAAAAATGGAACCAAAGGGAAGGAGGATGGCAGAGCTACTCACGGGCTAGCTAGTGCCTCTGCGGAGCCAGCATGACTTCTCCGTGTCCGGAGCCTCTAGGTTGCAGCGCTAGGGACTCGGTGGGCCCCGCTTAAATAGCCGCCGGCAGGGAGCCTCGGTGCCGCGCGGCCACTCCCGGGGAGAGAGAGATATGGTTCTAATCAGATGCTGGCAGCTGAGGACTCCCCAGGAATGTGGCGGGATGTTTTTGCTGCCTGGGCTTGGTAACTCCCCCTCAACGTGCTACGGAGTCTTCCAAACTTAACTGTTTATTAACTCGCGCTACAGCCGCGGAGACCGGCGCCTCTTGCGCTCCGAGCGTCCGACCAGCTGGGGGCGATCGCCCTGACCTGGAGAAAAGACCGTGCAACCGCCCGGGGCCAGGAGCCCCACACTAACGGGGGCCAGGAAGGGTGCACGTAAGGACAGGAAAGGGAAACTCTGAAAGGGGTGGGATCCGCTAAATTGCGTTTCACAGATCCGTTCCCTGGATTGCCACTTCAAGTGGCGTGGCACGCGAACCCATCCTAAACCGCCTGGGGCCTTTGAACAAAGAGAAGCCTTTACTCCGGACTTTTCCTTCAAGGGGTGGTGGGTCCCAGGTTCCATCTGTCCTTGCCTAAGCTGAGCACGTGACTGGATTGTCACCTTGAAAGAAATCAGTGTCTGTTAATTGCAAATGCGGACGTGCTTATTAAATAGGAGGGAAAACTATGGGCGCCCGGGTAAAAGATGTGTTTATATCGAAGTTTAACACCACTCACACAGATGCAAGAACATATTCTTTCCGTGAAACTGGCCTAAATGAAACACTTTACCATCTATCTAGCACATCCAATGATTTAATGATCCAATGATCTTTCAGTGCTTATCCAACCACGTGTAGATAGCATCACGTTGTCTGCTAGTTTCTATAGCATTTCTTTTTCTTTCTTTTTTATTTTTTGAGAATGAGTTTCTCTGTGTAACAGTCCTGACTGGCCTGGAACTCCCTTTTGTAGACCAGGTTGGCCTCAAACTCATTGAAATCCGCTGGCCTCTGCCTCCCAAGTGCTGGGTGTAAAGGTGTGCGCCACCACCGCCCCACATACAGCATTTCTTTCCTTTTCTTTTCTTTTTTATTAATCCCTGCATGAAAAACTTGAGCTATGAGAAGAGACGTTGAAAAATGTCCCCATCGATGCTGAACTGTAGACACGTGGCAGATAGGACCCCAGGAACCATATAGAAGCTTGCCACTTCTTTTCTGCATATTTTAAAGCCAGGAACATTTGTCAAATATCTGTAAAAATAGTAGGGTGCTTTTTAAGAACTTAGGAAATTACACTTTGAGAAGGTCTGCTCCACCTCCTCTTCTTCCTCCTTCTCTTCCCTGCTTTCTTACTTTATTTAGTCTTTCCTATACCACCTCCTTTTGTCTGTTTTCCTGTTGCTCCTCCTCTCCCACCACCTCCCTCGCCTCCCTGTTACTCCATTTGTTGGAAGCAAAATATACCAACTATGAAAATGACAAATTGTCAGTCGGAGGGAATGGGTTATTGATTTTATTGAGTAAGCAATACAATGGATATGCATCTTACCACTGCAAACCAAGGGTTCAAATCGGGCTTATGGCACACCAAGGATGTATTTTGTGGTCCGTGTCTAGCCCCAGCTGCAAAGCCACTGTGTAATTTGAGGTAGCTCGATGTGAGCGGCAGTTTCTGCTTGCAAGTAGGTCAGGCTTGGAAAGGCCCATGTGCGGGGAGAGAAAGAGGCACGGAACAGCACAGCCGGGCCAGTATGCTGCCCTCCTGACCTCTGTGTTCCCTCCACACCTGGGTACGGCAGTAAATGAGGGTGTGCTGGCAACTTTCAATATTTCTCTATGATTGTAAAAAGAAAAAGAAAAGATTTTCTGTGAATGGCTAGAGGTCTGTGAATGCGTAACGCTTAGTTCTGCTGCCTCTGAGGACATCACACTTCATGTCTAACACCCAGAAGTCTAGAGAAATGGTTTCATTTCAAAAGGCTCAAAAAAGTAGTATGTTCAAGGAAACGGGCTTTGAGAATACAAAAGAAACAGGTCTTCAAGAAGCCTGTGTTATCTCTCAGCTTGGAAGGACCCGCCCACGCCTCTTTCTATCTTTATCAGAGTAATTCAAAGACTATTTCTAAGATGTGTTAACTTGCTACCACTCTAAGGAAGTGATTTACCTTAGAAACCAGAGAAAGAAACTGACTTCATCTACTGTGAACTGCTATGTGAAGAGGAGACTTGGGCCCAAACAGCTCACTTGTGCGCAGTAGGCTCAAAGTTGTAGCTCAAAACGGACAGCCTTGTTTCATACAGAAATCTAAAGAGTCAGCACTGAAGAACTCTGGTTTGAAGTGTATTTTTATAACTCTAGGGTGCTGATATTGGTCTTGGCAGTAGCTCAATGTCCTGCTCACATTATGGGGGGGAGGGGGAAGAAATGAAAATAAATTTAACTCTTTTTATCCCAGGAGGTGCTGTTTCCTGTCACCTCTATGTTGTTAACTTTTCAATAAGTCTAAAATGAACATCTCCACATAAGGAAAAGCACGCCAGAGCCCACCCAGATGTTCAACTATGGAAAGCATGATTTTTTTTTTTATCACCACCAAAATTTGTTTAGAAAATTAAGGTAGGAAAAAAATGAAATGCGATGTTTTTGTTTTTTTTTTTAAAAAAAAAAAACCATGGTCCCCACGTAATGAGTGTCATTTGCACAAAACCTGCTTGTGGTGGGGTAGGGAGGAATCTGGACTGTGCTCCCAGCCTAGACAGAGGTAGTTAATCCCGTGACAGCTTGCTGAAGAATGCATGGTTTATTATTAAAGTAATCTCTTAAGATTTTCCTGGAATGTGCTTCCACAGCAGCGCTGCCTATGCAGGCTACCCTATACATGCCTTTTCTTCCATGATTCAACTGTTGGTTCTTAGCTCAAACCTCTGGGCTTTTCTCTCTTACACCTCGCTCTGCTCCCCTTCCCCGGCTGCTCAGGCCTTTCTTTAGCTGCCCGGTTTGAATCTTGCTCTTTTTCATGATCTGTAAATGGTACTTTGGAGTTGGCCTCAAAAGAAGTTGTACACTTTGATGCTTGTTAAAAACAGACATGATCAAGTCAAACAAATCAAGCTTGGCAAGATTGGGTATGTCTGTAGTTCAACCTACTCTGGAGGCTGAGGCAGGAGGATAAATAAGTTCAAAACGGAAACAATATTGATCAAGAATTGATTGAGATGGGTCTGGCAAGAGCCCCCTTCCTTTTTTCCGTGTGTGTGTGTGTGTGTGTGTGTGTGTATACATGTATATGCATATATATATATACACATACATATATATATGTGTGTGTGTATAATAAAAGCTGTCAAGTGAGGAAGAGAAAAGAGGAAAAAAAGCTGTTGCTTCCCAAAAGTGTCCCTTGCCCCTGACTGATCCTATATATTTAACACTGCAGAAAAACAGATCCCACCAGATTCAACTGCTACCAGGGATGGCCAAATATAAGAAATGTGTATTTGTTTTTATTATGCATTTATCCATCCATCCATTCATCTATCCATCCATCTCTGCTCTCTCTCTCTCTCATTCCTCATTTTCCTCTCTCTCTTTCCCTCCCCTCCTTCCCTATCCATCCTTCTCCCTCTTTCTCTAAGATTTTCTGAAATTTGAAAGGTGGGTTATTCTTGGTGTTTTTGCTAGTTGCTGTCATTTGTTTTCTTCCTTACATCCCCTACAATGCTGCAGAATTCGCTCTTTTTTGCATGTGACATGTAGTAAAAGAGAGATTCTGACGTAGAACACCAGGGTACTTGGGGAAATTGAACACCATGAAATGGAGATCTTTTAAAATTCAATGTTGGGCCAGCAAGATAGAGCTGTTTGCAAAGCTGAACAGCTGGGGTTCTATCCCTGGGACTCAACTCATAAACTTTGTCCTCTGGCTACTTCACACATGCACACACTGGAGTTCCACCCCCAGGACTCGCCGAGATTGCAGAGAACTGACTCCTAATTGTCATCCTCTGGGTTCCACACACACGTGCAAGAGCGTGTGCACATGCACACACACATACACAAATAAATGAATAAAATTCAATATATTATACATTTTTATAAGCAGTCACACTTCGCTCCCTATATACCTACCTGTAAACCTAGGCTTATATATATACACTTGTATATATAACAGGTAATAAGGGAGGAGTACTTTAATATGAATTATCACTCAAGTAAGCATGATTTAGCAAGCAACTTAATATGAATTATCAAAAATAAAAATATATTTAACATTGCAAGTAAAAATAATAAAATGCATATAATCCTTCAAGTATATGGATAGCAACCACTTACATAGTCCTCTATCTTATGGTGATGAATAAAGACTCTGATTTCTTTAATGTCTATATGAATAGGGAGCCGAGAACAGAGTGCATCCGTCGGTAGAAAGGGATTAAGTTAGGATTCATACACATTGTGGAACCATACGAAACCATTTAAAAGAGCAAACTGAAGCTGATTCTTATAGTTTAAAACCTTTCCTTTCGGGTTTTATTGAGTGAAAAAGCAGAAACGGAAAGAAGTTTTAAGAATTTCTATTTTAGTAATACAAAATGTACACCTATATGTGCATGTCAAGTGTAGTTTGTTTTCATGTGTGTTGAAGGTTAAGGGACTGGAAACTAAGTAGTCTGAGATATATATTGCCAGCGCTCTGGTAGAGGGGAAGTATTGAGGGGAAAGGATAGGTGAGAGCCAGGTACAAAAGTAAAAAAAAAAAATTGTCCACAGACTGAGACGCATTGGCATCTCAGTAAATTATGAATGTATAGGTTTGTGACATCAAAAAATATATGACATACTTTTAAGATGAGAAAAAGAAGAACTTCAAGAGAAATCCTCCTAAAATGGTCCTTGTGAAGGTACCATCCGAGGTCTTTCGAAGGGAATATTAGGGATTGGGGGATAGCTCAGTGGATAGAATGTCTGGTTTGTAAGCATGAGGACTTGAATTCGAATCTCTATTACCCACACACAGTAAAGCAAGTCTCGCTTGGCTGTGAGTCCTTGTAACTTAAGCACTGGGGGTTGGGGAGTAGAGACAGGCAGATACCAGAGCTCGGTGGCCGATAAGTCTAGCTGAAACAGTGTTCCAGTTCTATATGTCTGTCTGCCCATGGACCCACACGCCCTCAGACACACATGTACACATCCTACACACACGCCACATAGGCTCAGGGATCCAAGGTGTAAGGAAGTTCTGGAATCTATTTGTTCAAAAGCACTTTGGTGGGGTTCTGCTGGTACTGTGGTCTTGGGAGCAACAC